AGAGACGAAACATTCAGAAATTTCAGTTGTACATATATGGGTTGACCACACCTAATCCTAAAATCTAAAATCCACAATGGTCTCCAATCTGAAGTTCTTTAAGTACTGGCAGGGCCCCACAAGTGGAAAATTCCACTCCATGAAACTTCATTTCATGCACAAAGTAGTTTAAAATACTGTATAAAATTACCTTCAGCCTGTGTGTATATGAAACAATGGATTTTGCATTTGGACTTGCATATCAACTCTAAGGTGTCTCATTATGTCCAGGCAAAGTCCAAAAAAAAGCCAAAATTTGAAACACTTCTGATCCCAATCATTTCCAATAAAGTTGCTCAACTAACATATACTTTCATACAGGTTCTCTTGTGGATAATTTTGTTGAAGGACCTTCAGTCATGAAAAGTATGTTAATTCTAAATGAACACTCATTGAGTGACTGCTGTGTGGCGGGCATTTTGCCAGATACCAAGAGACAAAAGAACAAACACCCTGCTACCTGTGTCCCAGCCTTGTGGAGAAGACAACCAAAATCTGCTCCAAGCCAAGGTTTTATGTGCAGAAGGCCAAGGATACCAAGGACTATATAAACTCTAGCATCACTCAGGACAGGCTAGGATGTGCTGGGTAACAAATACCCTTCAAATCTCAGTCGCCATAAAGGCAGCTTACTTTTTATTCATCTTGCCTGCACAGAAGGTCAAAATCAAGGTTGGGGATCCTGATATATCATTCAAGGTCCAGATGGATGGAAAATCCATCCTGACACATGTTTTTAGGAATACTGAGATCATAAAATGCAAGGTGGCAAGTTAGGCCCTGACTTTCGAAGCTAGCTGGGATACATGTCATTATCCAAACACTTCACTGGCCAACCTAGCTTCATAACCCCAACTAACCATGACGGGATGCAGAAAGTACTCCTTCCAAGTCTCTGGGACAAAAAGAACAGGAATACTTGTGAACAACCCTATTAGAAGCCAGAGTTATGATCCAGTTGTTGGGAATTTATTGAAATGTCCCTCCCCACTCCACTTCTCAGCTAATAATTCTGTCTTTATATAAAAACCACCTCCTGAGAGAAAGGTCCTCACTGATCATTCCCAGTGGTACTTGCCTGACATTTATTTCACCCTCATGAACCCCTGCCTGATGGGGACTGGTGACAGAGACAAATGACAGGGCTCTCTTCTTCAGGGAGCTCACAGTGTGCCAGGACCTGAGGTCCATATGGATGAACACGTAACTGCAGTATGGGTGGAAGTCATTTGATGGATGCTTGTGTGGTACAATATAGTCCCAGAGAAAGAACTGGAGAGGCTTGTGGGAGGCCTAGTAAACACGTCACCTGGAAGAGTTTAGAATGTTCCAGGCAGGGAAAGTGGAAGCAGCGAGTTTTGCTGGGGTACAGTGGGAGGAGCGGTAAGGTTGATGAAAGTGTCTGAACAAGTGTGAAGTCACCCACTGGTGCAGGGAGGGGTGGACAACATTAGGGCAGCATGTGGGAGCGGTCCCAGGAGACCAGTCAATCGATTTGCACTGGGTGCTTTGTTATAGGAAGGTCACTGGGATGACAGCCTGCTGTCTTGATGGCTGTGGCACCCCAGATTCCTTTTGCTCAGACTTGGTGAAGAGTCTGTCCTCTCTAGGATGTGCTCATCTCTGTCCTGGGCTGCTCCTGGGTAAACATGCAGTGAGTATGTCTAAAGATGGTACGAATGACCCTGCTGCATGTTCTCTCAGATAAAACAAAACAGTTTCCCCTTCTCTGCAGACCTCTCTTTAGGCCCATCCAATTTGGTCCTCATGGACACAGCCAAGACACAGAAGCAGGACTGCTGATTGCTGCTGCTTTGGAAATGGGGATCCCCTCTGCTCAGGGCTCTGGTTTCCATGGGAACTGCACTGATGCTGCTGCTGGCTCCAGGGCCGGTGGGATGAACCAGAAGGAAAATTGGGGGATGAAAGAGAAAAAGCAGAAAGAGACTTCAAAGGTATTTGAAGGAGTTCTCAGTGGGGCCAGGCTGCCCCATTCTCCCTGCACATGTTACTGTCCCGACATACCCTCTGAGCCACATGGCCCCAAGACCTGAACAAGGGAGGCACATGCTACTCATGCAGTTCCCATGACCAAACACCATCCTGTGGAAGAGAGGCCAACGCAAGGCAGGCAGGAGTTGGCAGTCACTGGATTTCAGCATCTAGAGCAGAAGAGAGACAGTGGCCCCTGGGAGCATGGTGGCAGGTATTTCACAGACACAGTGTGTGCTCTTCACAGCACTGCAAGGGAAGGCATTGGGCTCCACATGATCTGATCCCTTGGGATCGTAGATCCAATCCCACATGGGTACCAAGGGCCAACTCTAGTATGAACCCGTCTGCCATGTCTGCAAGGGAAGGCATTGGGCTCCATGTGGTCTGAGTGGTATTGACCTGGACCTGGTTCCCCACTGTGGTCTCTGATGTAAGACACAACCAGCTACCCACCAGAAATGCCACCTTCCCAAAGGCAGTGAGCACCTGAGCTGCCACCTAAGAAAAGCCCCAATTCTTTTCGAGTTGGCATTAGAAGTTGACATCTGCCCCCTGGAGTGTACTCTGTGTCCTTCTGTTCACAGAAGAGGGAACTGAGCCCAGAAAGTGCTGGCCGGGCCTTCCCGTCCAGTGCATCACTGGGCTCCATACTGTCCTCCGGTACAGCTGCATCTGTGCTAAAACTGCAGGGCACCAGAGTATGGGGTTCACGAGGGGTCTTCGTGGTCTCCAGGATGCAAGCTCCCGCAGCTCTGCCTAGACTCACAGGCCAGCGGAGTGAGCTGACTCACTCCTCCCTGCACTGTACCTGGGCTCTGCTGTGCTCAGGGTTCTCAGCCCGACTCACACACCCAAGGCACCGCTGTGTGCACAGGGTTGTCCTGTGTGCTTGGACCAGAGGGAGTAGCGAGGAGAAACCTCAGAGTGCATGGATCTGGTGGCCGACAGGCACATGGAGGCCAGGAAGTGCAGTGACGTGTCACCAAGGCCCCACTGTGACAGTGCTGGGATTGAGCTGCCCAGCTGTAGATGAAGACACTTCCCTGACCCCACAGCCCCCTTTCCTCAGGAAGATGAACTCCCATGATGCTTGAGAACCATGAGGGCCTCCATGGTGAAATCCAGTGTGCACCTGGCAGGCTGTGCCCAGCGCATGTGGACAGCTGCCTGAAATGAAGGGTGAGTGTCAGGGGTCACTCAGGGAAGCTGCTGTCCTGGATCCAGTGATGCGTCTTGTCCTATGTCACCAACCACGCTGCAGGGTCATCTGACAGCATCCTTTGCAGATGAACAAAAGCAGCTTCTGACATGGTGGAGTCAAATGCTGGGTAGGGGGACACCTTACAGTCTGGTTGGCGACAGTAGGAGTCTCGACACGTGGGGCCTGCCATGCTGGATTCAGAATGCAAGTCACAGCGATGGTTTATCCTGAGTTCACGCCCAAGAACTCCCTTCTGCCGCCTCTGCTACACATGCCACTGCTGTGGGCTGAAGCCAGTTACGATTTGTAAATTGTGGGTTCTCTCTCCAGAAACTTCTGTATCTTTTTAGACTCTGAGTCTCCTCCTTTCCAGTTCTTCAGGACATGCCATAGGCTACATGCTTGTGCCCACCTCCCCCCAAATCCATGTGTTAAAGTCCTAATCTCTAATGTGAAGGCATTTGGAGGTGGGATCATCTGTGGGAGGTGATTGAGATCCCATGTGAGATCCCTAGAGTGGAACCCTCAGCAGAGGATTAGTGCCCTTAGAAGTAGAGGAAGATACCAGAGCTCTCCCAGGCTCTGTAAGGACAAGTCAGGGCAGCTGTCTGCAGGCCACGAAGAGGGCCTTCCTGAGAGCCTGAGCATGCCAGCACCTGGGCTCAGGCTCCTGCCCTCCCGGGCTGTGAGAAATACTTGATACTGTTGCAGCCACCTGGCCCATAGGCCCCGTCTGCAGCAGGCTGTGGTAGACACTGGGCAGGGCCTGGCCAGGATCTACAGAGGGTTCCTTGATGTCCTACCTGTGACTGTCTAAGACCTTCTCTGGCCCTTGGGACATGCTTGCCTTAGTCACTGCAGAAGAAGGACAAAAATGCCTGGCAGCTTGGAGCAGGGCCCCTCTGGTCACCCAGTGGAGCCCATGGGCCCTGCTTAGAAAAACATTTTCCATTGCAAATAACAAAGTACATCAGGTTACAAAAGGATGCTGATCTTACTGCACTGAAATTGTGGGGATGTTAGAGAATGTCAGTGAGACCATAGTTCATGTGCTTCCTCATTAAGCTTTAAGTCGCAGTGGGGACACCCCAGACACCATAATGGTGAAGTGACCAGGGTGAACTACAGGGACATAATGAATGTCAGTCCTTATCTCCACAAGCGCTGTGTCCATGTGTTCAGTCAAGTGTGAATGAAAATATTTTTTAAAAATTGTGTCTGTACTGAACATGTACAGACTTTGGCTTGTTGTTATACCCTAAATGCTGCAGTGCCACTACTTACATAGCTTTTATATTGTATTAGGTATTACAGGTCATCCAGAGAGGACTTCACATACAGGAGGATGTGTGTAGGTTGTGTGAAAATACCATACCATTTTATATAAGAGACTCAAGCGTACACAGATTTTGGCCTCCCTTGGGATCCTAGATCCAATCCCACATGGGTACCAAGGGCCAACTCTAGTATGAACCCGTCTGCCATGTCTAGTGTGAACATGTCTATTGGGGGCAGAATCTTGGGTCCTGCTAATGCTACTGTGGTTTGTCCCTTACATTCTTATTTGAAGGACATATATGCTAAATTGTGGCTAGAAATTTGTGAACTTGACTATGTAGTTATTTTCATCCACGTTAGTGAACTGCATATTAAAAGAGAGGAGTTAGCGAACTCCTGTAAAATAGAGGCTTGTGACTTTGTCCCAGCTTCGGGCACTGAGAATATTGTCCTCTGTACTGAGTTGGTTTTCTGTCTTTGTTCTTAGCGCTCCACGAATTTCCCAATGACATCTTCACCAACGAGGACAGAAGACAAGGGGCGGTGGTCCTCCATGTGCTCTGTGTAAGTACCCCTCGTACCTCCTTCCAGAGGACCGGCCCCGCCCTCCTGTCCATGTGCCTGGTGGGATCCTCTGAGCCATGGCGGAGCCTTCTTGGAATGCCCTGCCTTCTAAAGGCCAAAAGCTGATAAAGTTAGGTGACATCTATCTGAACTCTTTCCTTCATATCAGTGCCCAAGAGTAGGCCCTGAAATCAAATAGTCCTGCATTCTTTAGTCTGACGCGCTCTTCTCTCTCAGCTCCTCAGGGAGCCCTTTGCCCAGCAGCCTCCCTAAGTGTCATACTTTCTCTCTCTGTGCTTGATTTTTTCCATGAAACCTGTCATTATGTAGTCATTCACTTAGTGTCTGTGGGACCTCTTTCCCCTGTAAGCCCTGTAGAGTAGAGACTTTGTTTTATGTCTGATTTTATTCTCACACCTGTTCTTGGCACAGGGTGGGGACAAAGCGTTTGCTAAGCTGTGGACTAAACACAATGGCAACAAGTGTGTCTGCTGTGTCAGCTATCAGTGAGCACCTGTTCCCTTCCTCCTGGCCTTGTAATGTTCACCATTGTCTTAGCGTCTTCAATAGGGCTGAGGCGTTTGATTTGCGTTGTTCCCATCGGGAGAATTTGCGTAGCATGTGTGACCGAAGTCTGGACCAGACACATCCCTGCTTCCCTTCTCTGTGTTGTTTCCTCTTCCCCAGAGGGCTCCTAATCCCATTCTGGTCATTTATTGCACTGAAACAAGCCCCCCACATTTAGTGACATCCCAATCACTATTTTGTTTTGCTCATGGGTTCTGTGTGTCAATTGTTCCCAAAGGGTATGGTAGGAGTACAGCTCTGCTCCATGCAATCTGGGGCCTTCCGTGGAACATCTTGGGTGTTAGGGCTGTAGCTCTAGTGCTGAAGGGGCTCCTTGCAAAAGTGTTCTCCACTTTCATGGCTGGTGCCTAGGCCAGGGTGACTCAGATGGGACATCAGCCAGAGCCCTACCTGTGGCCTTCCCACTGTGGAGGTCAGACTTCTAGGTGGCAGCTCAGGGTTGGGAGAGGAGGGGTTATGATGAATAAAGAGGACACCTCATGGCTTTGGAAGTCACACAGCATCTTCACATCATATTCATTGCAATCACAAGCCCACCCTGAGCCAAGGGAGAGGACAGAGAACTTAATTTTCAGGCAGACAGTAGGCAGGCACTCTAGTGCTCTGGGATCAGGTCAGACATGGCTTTAAGGCTCATTTCTACTGTCCTGGTGTTACAGCTTGTATCTAGATGTGCCCCCAAAGCCTCATGTCCTCATAGGTGTGGCATTCTGGAGGTGGCTGGATCATGGCTGTGTGATGACTGGACTAGGCCATCAATTGGTTTAGCACAGTTGTAGGTGATGGAATTACTGAACAGGGAAGCCCCACCCTGAGTGTGGCTGGCACCAACCAATAGGCTTGTGGCCTGGATGGAATACAAAGGGAAAGGAAGGCTGCCTCTTGCCTGCCATGCCATGAATGCTTTCTCCATGCCATGCCTCCATCATCCAGCCCTGCCTTGGAACTCTGGACTGAAACCTCTATGAAATGTAAACTAAAATAAACCTTTCCTCCTTAACTTGTGCATGTTAGGTACTTTGTCCCAGCAGTAAGAAAGTGATTAAGACACCTGGCCTGGTGAATGGCTGCTGGTAGGATGGTTCACCTCTCTAGATCTGTGAGTAGGGCTGGGGATTTAGCTCAGCCCCCAAAGCGCCTGCCTGGCATGTGCGAGGTCATGAGTTCAGTTCCCGATACCGGAGAAAAACCAAAAAAAAAAAAAGAAAAAAAAATAGATCTGTGAGTCACCTGAACTTGACTTTCTTCCAGGGAAAACAGTCAGCCCTCACCTCTTTCTCCTCCCTCACTCTCACTCAGAGAGGTGGGGGAGCTTGGAACATCTCCTTTTAGCAAAAACATTCTCTATAAACACCAAATGAATGAGAACTCTGGGGCCCTCCCAACCCTCTCCCCTTCCCGAGAGTCTCATGCACTGAGCAATTAATACGGTGCCACCTTCGGCGCCACACAGACTCCTCTGTCCCAAAGCTGAGAAGACCCAGGCACTGAGGGGGATCCAGAATTTGTTGGTAACCCTCAGCACTCTGCCACCTTGACATCTGAGATACAATATTTCCCCTGTCAGCACAAACAGTGAGGATGTTCACTGTCTGTGCTCTCTCTCCCCACCTCCACCTCACCACCTGCAGGCCGAGGGGCATGCATTTCCCTCTGTTCTCAAGAGCCACACATCCCCATAAGGCTATCAGGCTTTCATGGTGCAGGTCTATGCTGGCTTGAAAGTGAGCACCTGTAATGGCAGTGTCACCCCCAGACACCTCCTTGCAACAGTGGACACTGGTCCCTGGTCCCTTCCTCTGCTCCTTGCTCAGGAGTCAATGCCCATCCCCTCAAAGAAACCTAGAGTTCCCCATGCACATAGCCTGGAACCTGCTTCTGGTCTGTGTAGGGCCCTTCCAGAGCAAGCTTGGACCTGCTGCCTGGGCTCCACAGGCACACAAGTGGTCCAGGGAAGAGCCAGGTGGAGCAGGAGGCCGCCTCTGTGAGCAGACACAAATGTTAGGATGGGCTGCTGATGCACTCCAAGGTGAAGAGTGGCTCTAGCAGCATCCTGCCCACTACAGGCTCCCCTGCCAGGACATAAACCTCACAGGAAAAACCCCTCTGGATGGTGTTTAGCACAGTGAACATTGCAAGTTGCACAGTAGCCGGGGATATAGCTCAGCAGCATGGTGACTGCCTTGCAAGCTCAAGGTCCTACTTCGATTCCTGGTACCAAAAAAAAAAAAAAAAAAAAAAAGTTGCACAGTGACTTTTGTTTAGTACAAGAATGAAGGTGCATCCTCTTCATTTACCATGTCACCCAGCTCCTTTAGAATGCTTCGGAATTGCTCTATGAACATCAGTGAGTGTAAGAAGCCCTGCAAAGGCAAATGGTTGGCATTTCAGTGGCTGGCAGGAAACAGGTGAATGTATGAGTCAAAATGGCAAGAAGCTAAATATGGACTTCCTGCATGCAGACAGCTAGACAGCTCTTCCGGAGCCCCTGCAGTATGGGAGCAGAGTGGGGGCCCTCTATACAGCCCAGAGGTGGCCTCATCCACCATGCATTACTCATGTTCAACCTGCAACACAAAAACAACAGAAGCAAAAGACAGCAAAGCAACAGGATGCCTCCAAAACCCTCTAACTCCCCACAAGCTGATCTCATGGGCGCTGAAATACAGGGAGCTATGAGCAAAGAACTCAAAACCAAGTGGTCAAAATGTTTGAAGAGCTCAAAGAAGAAACACATAAGCAAATTCATAAGATGTCCAGTGAGCTTAGAAAGGATTTAATTAAACAGATAAAGGATTTTTACTAATAAAATGTTTGATGTGCTTGAAGAAATAATAAGCAGTAAACTAAATGAGTTAAATAATATAAAATATGAGTGTCTGGTTTGGTTAAAAAAATAGAAAAAATAGAAATTATGAAAAGAAATCAAATATAGTAGAATTTCAGGATATGGACAATTTAATGGGGAGCGTGAGTAGCAGATTTGAGTAACGTAAGGACAGAGAACTTGAAAGCAAGAGTGATGCTGTAGGTTACATACAGTGAGACTGCATAGACAGTGGATCCAGTATCCACTGGATGCATGATGCGCTGGCTATGGTCTACACTGCGCACTTTGGAGCTCACAGACAGGAGGGCCAAGGTGGTGCTATTTTGGAGAGTATACAGACAGTTGCCAAAGCAGAATGGAGAGAGGGGATTCCAGGCAGAAGTGAGAAATCCCACAGTCAAGGATATAGATGTGTGAGAGTTCAGGGGGGCTGAAAGGAGGAGAAACGAAAGATACTGGGGTGGAGACTGAGGAAGTGTGTGTGGGAGAGTGGTGGGACCTTGCATTGGGGGACACTCCAAGCTAACTTAGCTGCCATGTTGGGAGTGGTGGGGAGCACATCTGATCCCAACACTTCTCTACCATCCCTCTTTGCCTAAGGTTAAGGTTAAATGAGGCCAGGCATAGCCTGAGGTGACCAGAATTGTCCCCCCAACTGTCCAGTGGGGACGGCCCATGCAGGCGATTGGGAAGGCTCAGGGCCATTTGGGCAGGGGATCCCAGAGTCCCAGCTGTCCCGAGGAGCAAGGGTCCATCTAGGGGTGGTGAACATCACCAGGCCATCACTGGGCCTCTGAAGCGTTGGGTTTGTCTCATCTGGGTAACAAAAGGGATGGACTTCAACAGAGCATCCCGGCAGGTTTGTCATGTCATCCCAGGCTGCCAGAGAGAGGGCCAGTGGCTGTAATCACAGGTCTCCAGCAAAGCACGAAGTGCTTTTCAGTCCTGAGCAGCCTGATCTGACTTTGCAACTCAACTCGCCTTCACACTCTTCCATGTGGGCCCAGGAATTTGCTTTCCACCCAGGCCTGCAGCTTGAGCCTCAGCTGGGTACGGGCTTGGGGACACAGATGGCTCAATCTGTAAATGCAAAATGTCCAAGCTTGCTTGTATTTTCCTTTCATGTAAATACTTCCCTCTTCTGTGTGTGATTTGTGGAACTCAAAACAGCTATTTCTGGCTCAACTTGCCAAGCACTACAGCTTTAATTTCCCCTTAGACCTTTCTGTTTTTGTGGATTTCAGAATTCCTAAACTCTGAGATTGCACTTAAAAGTTTCTGGTCTTTCCCCTGTTCTTCATGTATGAGGTCTTTACCAGTGAGGCAATCCATGGTCTTTCTGATTATATCAACAATGAATCTGCCCAAGAAAACACACTTGTCTTGGAAATTGCTTTGTATCCCACTCTCATAATACTGAGACATTCAAGCAGGATTTCCTGTCTGTGCAGAAATTTGCACCCCTCATAAACTCATTGAGCCTGCCCCAGAGAGTGGAAAGAGGTAATTTTGTAGAGCTGTGATTTATAAATGCCTTGCAAATTTTTTCTGATTATCCTGCATGACATAGGTAGCTGAATCT